ACTCCTGCCAATTCTCGTGGTGACACCAGCAGGGCTGTGTGGCCACAGGGAGTGGTGACATTTTCCCTCCCCACTCTGGATTCCTGTTGGGACACGTGCTGGGGACTGGGCTGAGGAGCTCGTGCTGCCTCTGCCCACACCAGCCCTGGCTGGAGCCAGGAAAAGGAATTGATATATTTAGAGATGATGATGACGTAGACTTTCAAATCCTGGGGATGGTGACTGTGACACAGCCCACGATTCCTGTGTGATGTAGGATCAGAAATGGGATTTTGGAGCTAATTTTTCCCCTGGCATGGGAGGATCCAACTGCAGCTTCGTCCCCTTTGCCGTGATGGTGACGTGCACAGCCCCAGGGATGCAAGAGTGCTTCAGAATCAGGTGCCAGTGAAGATCCTGAGGTTCGGTGTCCACAAACGCTGAGCTCTGCTCCTTCCATCTCCTGGCAGCCCTTGCTGCTGCCCTCCCGCCTGCTCAGCATCCATCCAGGACAGCCAGAGCTGAGCAGGGGGGCAGCACTGGCAGTGCTGCTCTGCCTTGGATGCCTTTTGATTTTCCTCCTCGCCCAGATCAAACCTGAGCCCCAGAGGGGGCCTGGCTGGAGCCGGAGCTGCTGCTGGCTCAGGCTGCCAGGGGAGCGGTGTCTGAGTGGAATTGCATTAAAATCTGCCTTTTAAAAAAGAGCCATGCATCTTCCCAGGCAGGGCACGCTGCCAGGGCTCAGCAGAGGAGCTGTCCCTGCCTGCGAGGAGCTGGAGCAGTGTCTCACTCACAGGGCTTGGCAGCCAGGGAGGAATTCAATAAACAGCTCTGTCCTTCTGGAGAGCTCTGGGGCTGGAACAGGAGCACAGAGCTGGGTGCCCACAGCAGCCAGCACAGGCTATAGAAAATGTGTGCCTGACCTCTGGTGAGATAACTGCATCCTCCCCAGAGAGCTCTGTGGTGGCTCAGGGGCCAGGGAAATGGCCCAGGGGACACACAGCCCTGGGCACAAGTGCCACCTGCCCTGGGGACAGTTCAGGTGGCCACTGCCCAAATGTCTGAGGGCAGCAGGGGGGCAAGAGCTGAGCCTCCCCCAGGCTGATCATTTGGCCTCAGAGCCCCTGACCCCTGTCTGTCAGAGCCATTCTCCTCCTGCATCAGAGAATCCTGGAATGGGTTGTGTTGGGATATACCTTAAATCCCATCCAGTGCTGATGCCTTGTGCAGGCTGCCCTAGAGCAGAGACCAGAGTTCAAGAATGAAGCAGGGATTTATTCAAAGCATCTCCTCCATGGATGCACCTTGGGCAGCACCAGAGCCCAGCCAGGGCTGCACCCAAGATGAACCAAAATGGCCCCAAAATGCACGAGGGGCACGGGGTCTGTCCCTGGGATCAGTTCTGCTCCATTTGCACCTTGCAGTTCATTGTCCCATTCCAGCTTTAGCCCAGGCAGTCCCACCCTGCTTGTTTTTCTCTCTCCAGCCCACGGTGTTTGTGCTCCTGGGCTGAGATTTGGGTCATTTGTCCTTGGTGCCCAGCTGGAGCAGGAATTGTTTTGTCTCCCTGCTCTGTGCACAGAGCTCAGCATCCCCTGATGTGAAACTCAGACCCACACACTAATGGGTGAACAACATTCAGCACAGATTCAGCACAGAATGTGAAACATAGAAAAGCAAAATCCTGAGGTATCATTTTGCCTCTATTGCCTCAGTGCCACCCCTGCCATGGGCAGGGACAGCTCCTGCTATCCCAGGTGGCTCCAAGCCCTGCCCAGCCTGGCCTTGGACACTTCCAGGGACGGGGCAATCACCTGATGCCAAATTTTAGGGGGATTAGAGATCTCCATGGCAGGGAAATGCCCAGGATCAGTCAGGTGTACCCACAGCAGCCCCTCTGTGCCTCTGTGGATGAGATCTTGTGGTGCAGGTGAAGGGTTTGGTTGCGTCCCCTTGCAGCAGTGAGAGCACACAGGGAATGACCCAAGGAATGAACTTTCTGCTTTCTGTGTTTCTTCTCTCTCGGTGTCCTGCTGGGATTTTCTATTATCACCGAGTCAGAAGCAAGTTTGTGTGCTGGGAGTGTGATTGATTTCCAGCTTGCACCTTGCAGTGGGTTGAAAGCAAACCAGCTGGCTCTTGGCTTTCTTGATATTCCTGAAAGCAACAACCCCCCCCCCCCCCAAAAAAAAAAAGCAAACAAAAGAAAAACCCCAAACCAAAAAAAAAAAACAAAAAGAAAAACCCAAAAAGACCCCTTCCTCCAGGAAAGCCATGCTGAGGTTTCACTGGGAGCATCCCAGAAGGAAATGAGATTTTGAGTCTTGCCTTTACCAGGAGCTGTGGTTTTACAACTTTTGGGGTTATGCCAATGGACAGGTTGAGGTGTGTTCATTCATTTTTTGTTTGATCCCTTAGCAAAGTCCCACAATGCCAATTTAAAACGCTTTGGATTGACTATTGGGTTGGAAGAAGGTAATACTGTGTTCTAAAACTTACAGGATTATTAACCTCAAAAACTCGCAAGGTTTGATAGGCTCAGCTGTCAGGTTTGTGCTGTTCCATGATCTCTGGGGGAAAATCAAACGAAAGCAGCACTGAGGCTCAATACATCATCCCTCCAACAAGGTAATCAGGAGGGAAGAGGTGATTTTGTTGCTGATACTGCTGCTGATTTATTCTGAGAAAACTACAAATTTAATGGATGCTGGGAGGTTTTATTGTGATTCCTAATGATTCATTTGACCTCTGATAGCTGCCAGTGAACCCAGCCTGGGAGCAGAGCCTCTGCAGACAGAGCAGGAGACAGAAATGCCAATTGCCACTTGTTCTGTTCAACCTGATTCCTCCAAACCTGAAGTGGGAATACCTGGAATGGAGCTGAATCTCCATCTGTGCTTCAAGCATGCAAATCACAGGTGTGCTGTGTTAAACTGCATCCTGAAAATCTGGGAAAAAGAACCTCCAAGGAGGGAGGAGCAAATGGGAGGTTGGAATATTCAGGAAATATTTCTGTGTGTGTCTGAGGGGTGGGCAAAGCCCTTGGGCCCCGTGGTGATGTCTCAGTGGCTCCTGCCCTGGTACCATCTGTGTCTCCAGGGGAGGTTCAGGTTGGATATTGGGAATTTCTCTTCCCAAAAGGGCCTGTCCAGCCCTGGCAGGAGAGGAGTTCCAGTCCTGGAGGGATTTAAAGCCCTGTGGAGGTGGCACCTGGGGATGTGGGGCAGTGCTGGGGAATGGCTGGACACAGTCTCAGAGGGCTTTTCCAACCCAGACTATTCCATGATCCTGTGGTTCTTCAGTTCCAAAGCACTTTGTGATTTGTCACCTGGTCTAAACCTCTCTTTTAGAGGGATGTGAGAAAGGTGAGATAGGGGAGGACTGACCAGGCCCAATGGGAGATCACCTGGGCCTCAAACAACTCAAGATTTAAAAAAATAAGTCATTAATGCACCAAAGTTTACCCAGAGAGTGCCAGGCTGAACCTGGAAACCCTGAGCTTTAATCACCAACCTGTTCTGGCCCCTCACCTTCCACAAAAAGTGTTGTGTGAAGGTTAATTTCAGATTAAAATGGAATTGCAGTAAATGCAGACACAATGAGTGCTGAGCTGAGCTGTGCCCAGGCAGAATCCAGCCCAAAGTGCTTTTCTGAGCCGCAGGAACACGACCTAATCCTCTTATCCTTGCACTTGGAGGTCCTGGACGAGTGGGAATGGGAGGTTCCATTCAAAGAGAGGATTTGCTCTCTGAATAAGGCTGGAAATGCAATGGTCACCTGTTCTGCTGATGGGTTTATAAAGGATGTAAAGCTGCAGGCTTTAAATGAGGCAAATTTCATCCTCATTTCAGCCCTCGTGGGTCTGGAGAGTCCTGGAGAGCTTCACCAGCAACCACAATTCTTTTAAAACCACTTTTTCTTTTTAGAAAGTAATTTCAGAGTCTTGGATTTTTTCAACCACGATGTGGTCAGCACCACCATGATGAGGGAGAAATGGTCAAGCACAGGCTGAGACCACATCAGGAATTTTTGTTTAAAACCCCTAAAGGTTCTTGCATGCCACTGGGTTTCTCCTCACTGGAAGTTCTCTGGCTCCTGGAATGAAATGCACTTTATCAGGAGACTGAATCTCAGCATCATGGGATCAGTATGGTTGGAAAAGACCTTCCAAATGGTCAAAATTACCTGAAATATTGCAGTGAAATTTGGCATAATATATAAAAGCTCAGTCTCCCCACAGACTCACACCAGGGTCCCTTCTGGAGCCCTTGTCTGGTGATTTTTCAGTGTAAACACCAAAGGAAATGCAACATTTGGGGTTTGTGCCTCACTGTGTGCATGTCTGACACTCTGTGCCTGTCAAAAAAAGATGCTCAGTGTTTTCTTTAGAACCCTGGAATGGTTAAAGCTGGAAAAGCTCTCAGATCAGCGAGTCCAAGCGTTAACCCAGCATGTTTTTGTAGATGTGATGTTCATTCTTAGAAAAAATAAATGGAATTTAATGTTTTTCAACATTCCCTGTACAGCCCAACATTCCCAGACCTTGTGGGATTCAGCACTTTCACCCCACTCAGGACAAATAAACCACAGAATCCCCTAAAATACTGCACCATTAAATTTGCTGCAGCAACAAATGATGCTTTTAGACACGAAACATTTGCTGTGTTGCTGGAGATTAACAGAGTTTATTAATCCTATAGAAGTTTGGATTGGCTAAACTCAGTGTGGGCTGAGATATGGCTGCATAGTAGAAATTAATGTCCAAAGAAATTTAATTGTCAGGAAAAAAAAAAATCATTTGGTATATTTAGAACTAAGCAGGTAAAAAAATAATGTTGGGGGGGAAAGATAGAAAAAAATAAATATTATTCTTTGTATTGGGTTGTTGTGAGTATAATAAGACTCTTTGAGGATTTTTTTACTTAAAATGCACTTTTAGTGTTTCTCTCTCACTGCCAGGCTTTGCAAGGTCTCCACCTGATATATTGGAAGTGGCAACAAACTCTTGAGATGGATTTTTGAAATCTTTAGACCTCTGACCAGGCTTGCAGTGATGACACAGAGGTAACAATAAAACCACTTGAGAGACATTTAATGGGACACTTTAAATGAAATCCCCGGGGTTGGTGATGGCAGCTGAGCGTGTTCTTGCCATTTTCCCATTTAACAAGAAGAAAAGGCCAAACAAGGAGCAATTAGTCAGAATAAAATCAGCTTTGATGACATTTTCCCTCCTGAACTCTGGTATAAAATGGTCACCTGAGGAAGAACTGAAAGGATATGTGAGGGATTTGGATGTGGAGCTGCATGTTCACGCACACAGCGCTGGGTAGAAAATGAGCAGGTAAAGCCACCGCGGGGTTCTTGGTGCTTGGGATGCTCTCTGTTCATATTTTCCTTGGTTTTGGTCCAAATTTGCATTAATCTCAGCTTTTCTTTGAAGTCTATGCAGGTTGAACTTGGTTTTCATCCTGTGGGTCTCCATGACATTGGTGTGCTCGGGTTTCCCAGTTGGCCCTTCCATGGTAAGTCCCATTCTCCAATTACTCCCAGATCTCTTTAATTCCTCTTAAATTACTTCTTTATTTAAATTAATTTTGTTTGCTTGAGTTGCTTCTTTGCTGCTCTGTTTTTTTATTTTTTATAAAACAAAAGTACTTTCTTGTATTAAAGCTATTGGTTAAATGTTATTACCTAATTTTCCTGGAGCATAGCCTAATTTTTCCTGGTGTTATTAATAAAATATGCAAGCCTCTGAAATAATCATGTGAGCAACCCAGTGCATATTTAATGTGGAGTGTGGGGAGCTGAAATCCTGGATGGAAAAGAGAAAATCACAAATCTCCTCTCCATTTAATCTGAATTCCTTGCATATCTCAAAGAAGTGCAATTAGACATATATGTATTAATTTCACTTATTGCTAGTGAGTTTATCAATTAATTAACTTATTTATAATCAACTGATTGATTTAGACACAGCTGGATCTGAGTAGCCACATTTCCTAATGGATGGGTTCTCTTTATGGTGATGATATCATGGTTAAAAGGACTTTAATTGCTTCAATAAATGTCAAATAAAAGTTATTTGTTCAGGAAATCTAGTGAAATAGCAGCTAAAAATTCAAAAAGGGAATGTCTCTGTGCACTTTCTTTGGTTTTTATAGGTTTTTTTCCTTGCAAAAAGTGTTTTTTCTTGTTAGGCTGAAAATTCATTCTGGGAAGTGCCTTGTCAGTGGCAGAAGGTGTTGGTTGCAGAAAAAGCCATTAAACAAACAAAAAAATTATCTTAATAACCAATATTAAAGAAGAGCCATAAAACACTGAAGTGAAACAAATCCTAATTAAGCTTTATCAGCAATTCCTGGTGTTAATCCTATGGCTTTGCATGAAATTTTTAGAGATTACAGAATATGACTTTAAGATGGAAAATCAGCTGGGAAATCAGGATATGATGAAATACACACAGAGCAACCACAGACATGCCAGGAAATGGTTTTATTTTATAATTCAGCAGTAATTAAATGCAGTTTATTTTAAGAGCTGTTGAAATATGTGAAAGTTTTTATGGAGTTGGCTTTTTTTTATCCTATAGAGTGCAAGTAAAAAGAATGTGTACAAAACCCTGGATTTTTGTCCAAGCCTGGATTTTTATGCAGACTTTTTAAAATTCCCATTACTATTTTGTCATTATTAAACTTATTCAGAACTACTTCCAGAATTGGTCATAACTACTGGAAAGCATCCTCCAAATTTTAGCTTTACAAGTATTTTTGTTTTCTCTTATCTGTAATTTCAGCCTCAGAAGTTCACACAGGTTATACAAAGCTGGTATTTCATTTTTCCCTGAAAAAATCTCATTTTCCAGCAATAAACACCTGTGTTGTTCCAAAGAAACTATGTCACAGCTGGTCAGCATCACTGAAAACAATTCATATGATACCCTAAACATAATAGTATCAGTATTTTAGACCAGAAATGTATAAAAAACAATGAAGAAATCTGATTTTGAACACGATAAATCCTTAGAAAATAACAGCTCATCCCTGTCATTCAAAGCATAAATTGCTTTTGTGTTCCTGCTTTGCTCTGTATCCTGAACAAGTCCTGGCAAATACACAAATCCATAATTTTACCTTCTCTTATCTCTATTTTTTTTTTTTTTTTGTTCTCCTTGTTTGTTTCTTTGTTTGTTTGTTTGCCTTTAATCTCCAGAGCACCAACCCGTTGTATCTGAGCTGCCAGCTGTACGGGAGATGGGATTCGTGCCTGGTGCTGCTGAGCAGCTGCCTGTCCAGGGTGGGCAGGGGTGAGGAGCTGCCCCTGGGGAAGCCTCTCCACAAAAGGTCCTTCCGCAACGGCGTCGGAGCGGGAATTAAAAAAACTTCCTTCCGAAGGGCAAAGTCCTGAGCAAGTGTCCCAAGGCCCGGCCCAGGTTTTGACCTCTGATGTCCCAGTCGTCGCTTTGAGTTCCTTTTGGTGTTTTTCTCTGGCGAAGCCGCCTCTGACAGAGTGCCCAAGTGTGGCTCCCCAAGCGCCGCGAGCCGAGCGGAGCCGACGGGAGCGCTCGGGAAGGGCTTTGCTCCCGAAGTCACACTGCCATGAAGTTTTGTCTCGAAATGAGTGTTTCATTTGCTTCATTTCCTCCTTTGTCAGGCTGGCTACATACAGGTTTTAATCAAGCTGCTCTTTGATTCGCACAAAGATAATCCCGTGCTTGAGGAGATGCGTGCGCGCGGCCTGCAGGGAGGACGGAGTATTCCCAAAATCCCTCCTCTCTGCCAGGCACAGGCATTCCTGTGCTTTCCCATCCCAAATCACATTGACTTGAAGGCAACTCGTATTTAAACACAGATTTAAAGTACACTTCATTTCGGGTTTCCGATGATATGAAGGGCCACTGGTGAAACAATCAGGCCCTACTTGTAACTTCCACTGGCGTTTTAATATAGTTATTTAAATGACTTTGGCAGGGAATAGTCTCGGGAGATGTCTCATCTCATATCCAGAAGAATCTTGGGATATCATTCTAAGGCAGGGTATCAGCACCAATTCCCTGTGCCTCAATTAATTGACTTAGGTAGGCAACACTCAGCTGATGAAATGTGCCAAATCTGGGATTTTTTTTTAATTTCCTGTTGGAAAAAAAATAAAACAAGGAAAAAGTCATTTGATGTGAAATATGTAAATGTGGTGTGGATGAAATGTCACCTGATGAGTTACACAGTGTGAGTTCTACTTGTGGCTGTGTCCCTGAATGTAACAAGCTGTGCCCTTGGCTTGAAAATGTGGCAGAGTGTCTCTGCATTGCCTTTTGCAGTCAAAGATGTGAAATTAATTATAATAAATCACTCTGTGGATGTTTTTCTAATATTTCCCTGTTAAATATCATAGCTCAGGAGATTGTTTTTAACCCTACAATGAGGTGGTTTGGTGTCATCATCTCTGTGATGCCCTCCCTGAGCTCATGGGGTAAAGTGAGCCCAGCATGGAGCTGTGCTGGTGGGACAGGAGGTTTTTCTGGATGATTTCTGGCTGATCCAAAGAGATCAAACACATTCCTGCCTGTCTTTGTCCAGGCTGAAAAGTTTAACACATCCTGGTTTTTAAAGTCGCTTAAACACTTGAGTTCTTTTGGGATTGTCTCGAGTTTGCTGAATTGAGTGGGAACTACGGAACCCAGGAACCATGAAATCCTAGGGACCATGAATTCCTAGGAACCATGGAACCAAGGAACCATAAAATCCTAGAAACCATGGAACCCAGGAACCATGGAATCCTAGAAACCATGGAACCCAGGAACCATGAAATCCTAGGAAACATGAAATTCTAGGAACCATGGATCCCAGGAAGCATGGAATCTTAGGAACCATGGAACCCAGGAACCATGAAATCCTAGGAACTGTGGAACCCAGGAACCATGAAATCTAAGGAACCATAAAAACCTAGAAACCATGGAACCAAGGAACCATAAAATCCTAAGAACCATAAAAACCTAGGAACCATAGAACCCAGGAAGCATGAAATCTAAGGAACCATGGAATCCTAGGAACCATGGGATCCTAGGAGCCATGTGAAATGCCCAAGGAGTGTGCTGGATATTTATTACCCTTGGGCACTATCAGATGGGAGCAGGCTCAGGGTGGCACCGTGGTGACACTGCAGCTGGGCATGGCCCTGTGTCACTCCTGGCAGCTGGCATTTCAGCCATGCCAGATGTCCTGCAAATTTTCCATCCCAAACACTCTCCAGGTCTCTCCAGGACTCCCCAAGGAGCAGAATTTCATTGCCTTTGGCCATGGAAAAAGTGAAGGGCTGGGAATGATTCCTGATCCAAACCAGTTTCTGAGTGCATGGGCTGTCCATGGAAGCTGTGGCTGTCCCTGGATCCCTGGCAGTGCCCAGGCCAGGCTGGACACTGGGGCTGGAGCAGCCTGGGACAGTGGGAGGTGTCCCTGCCATGGCAGGAGTGGAATGGGATGAGCTTGAAGGTCCCTTCAGTCCAAACCAATCTGTGATCCCATGATTCCATAATTCCATTAATCCATTCTGCATCTGCACACAGCTGTGGGGATGGAGGTGTTTTGTCCCAGGGCAAAGCTCTATCCTGGTCATATCCCCACCCAATCTTTCAGGAAAGCAAAAACCCCAAATCAATTCAGATTTACCTTTGTTTGGTTTCTGAGATCTGTTTTTGCTAACATTTTCCTACATAATCAAATATGTTCCTGCCTTGGTAACCTGGGATGAACAAGGTTGTGTTAAAGCCAACAGAATTCCATGTGGAGCTTGGGAAATCAGGCTCTTCCCTTTCATTTATTGTGCAGGAATGAGAGTAACTCATTTAGAGTTTTGGCATTTGTCTTTGGGCAGGGCACGTTCCAGAGGGCTGCAGAGCTGCTGTCCTGCTCCCACAGACCTTCATCCCCTGTTATCAAAAATAAGGGATGCAAGAAAATTTGGCTGCTGGAAAAATCCCGTTCTTTATGATTTAGCCAGTCCCTGACAGGCCACACTCCAGCTGGAGGGATCTGCATGTACAAAACAACGGGACCAGGAGGCCACCAAGAGCCAGAAGTCACCCAAATCACCTAAATCCAGGGCAAATGGGGATTATCCAGCTGCCTTTCAGGAGTTCCGTCACTGGAGGGCTGATATGGCCAGCTCAGCCCACAGAAGACTCACCCTGCAATGCTGAACTCATCTCTGAACTTTAAAGGTGGCTTTGTTTTGGAGAGAACAGAGTGTGACCTCAGTGATCTCTGTCAGAAAATAAGGATCTGAGGGTGCCATTGCCAGGCACATTAATTTTTATGCTGACAGGAACTGGAAATGTGGCAAAAAATAGCTTTTTTTTCAGTAAAAAGTGAACAATAGGAACAACTACAAGGGCACCATCCTGCACCGTAATTAATGTGTTGTCATTAATTTTACTTTTTTCTGGAGAGCAGGGATTCATGATGCTGTGAGAAGATAATTTGTGAATTTCTTTATTATTTTTCTTGGCTAACAAAACAGAAAGGAAAATGATCAAAGAGTTCAGAGGGTGGGAAGAGTGATGCTTTTGTGGGGATTGAGGAGCGAGTTGGGAAGGTGGGAATGCTCTGGCCAGTCTTGGCTGAGTAATTCAGTCTGTGACTTTAGAAAAATAATTTCTACTCAATTTTCCCATCTGAAAAATAAGGAACTGCCTTCATTGAGCCATCTTGACTAAGCAGTGTCATGACTGATGGATTTGGGAAGAGTTTTGGGACAGAAAAGGGTGATTTCAATAGTGGGAAAGGCTGAGGGAGAGCATATGAAGAATTCCTGAATCTATAAGGATTTTTTTTTCCCTTACTTTGCTCTCTAACTTGTATCTACCTCTGGAAGCTTTGGACATAAATTTCCAGTGATGATTCCTTGTTTTTGGGCTGTGGGAACCATTCCTGAGCTCAGCAATCACTGCTTGGAACAGCCAAACTCAATTTGGCCAGTTGTGATTCTAGTTCAAACTAGAAACCAGATTTCCCTGGATTTACTGAATAACTTACTTTTATTTTGACATTTATTGAAGAATTAAACTCCTTTTAACTGTGATATCATTGCCATAATGAGAATCCATCCATCAGGAAATGTGGCTACTCAGATCCAGCTGTGTCTAAATAAATCAGTTGATTATAAATGAGTTAATTAATTTATAAACTAGCCTGTGCTGGGCCTTGGAGTTGGGCTGATGCTACTTTGAGGCTGTGGGAGCTGTATTCACATCCCATTCCATCCCCACCCCTGGAATGGCTCTTCCCATGAAGGTGTCACCTGCTACTCCTCTGCTCCCCTAAAACCATCTCTGCCTCTCAAGGTTTGAGGTTCCCAGTTGTGAACATGTAGGGAACAAATCCCATAAAACACCACCAACTTCTTCTTCTTCTTCTTCTTCTTCTCCTTCTCCTTCTCCTTCTTCTTCTTCTCCTTCTCCTCCTTCTCCTTCTCCTTCTCCTTCTCCTTCTCCTTCTCCTTCTCCTTCTCCTTCTCCTCCTCCTCCTCCTTCTCCTTCTTCTTTTTCACAGATTATTCTTCACATATTATTGGCAAGGAAGGCAATTAAATAGCCTGATGTAATAGCACCTAATTAACTTGCAAGCCTGAAAATTCCTCGTTGTAATGACGTCCCAACACTTGGGTTTCTGATTGCCCAGCACATATTAAAGTCTGGGTATCACATTTAGGTTTCCTAATTTGCTATTATTTGCCTGTATGTGGTAATTCATTCCCTGAAAATACCAAGAGGAAGAAAGGGAGAAGCCTCTTGCTGCTTTTAACTCTGGATATAATTTTGACCTTAAGAAAGAACAAGACAGATATGAGAGAGTATATTAGATGTTATTATTGCTGTAATAAAAGAGAGATAAAAATCATCGTGCAGAAAAGCTCTAAGACAACTATTAACCATTTGTCATATAAAGAAAATCAAAATTTAACTTATCAGAGAGTCTGGCACTTTAAAGATTCATCATGAAAAATTACTTTGAAGCAGGGAGCATTTATGCAGAATGTCATTGATGAGCTGTCTGCTTAAATGTTGAAAGAGTTTGGGGAAAGATTGAAAAAATGTCAAAGATATGCCTTGTATCAGTCTCACCACATTTAAATTTATTTTGGGGAGTGAAGCAGCATGGCAGGACTTTTTTCTTTAAGGAAACAAGCTGGAATTGACTGTCCTACCCCAATGGGCCATGGCTGGTGAGAACAGCTGAGGTGAGGATGGACCTTGGCGAGTGAAAAAATGACACAGCTGAATATCAAATCTTATTTTTGGGGTTATGGCAATTTTTCTGTCTTTGTGGAGATAGGCAGACTTTTTATTCTAATTCCTTCCCAGATTTGAAGTCACTGGGTTGATGATGCTGGAAAAGAAGGCGATCTTAAAA